CTATGTCGTTTATGTAGATTGTGAACAGCAGGGGGCCCAACACTGACCCCTGTGGAACACCGCTCGTGACGCTTCCCCACTCTGATTTCTCCCCATTTATGCAAACTCTCTGCTGCCTATTTGTCAACCATGCCTCTATCCAGGAAAAAATTTCTCCTATTCCATGTGCCTTAATTTTCCTCAATAGTCTCTTATGTGGGACCCTGTCAAAAGCCTTACTGAAGTCCATATACACAATATCATATTCATTACCATGATTACCTCCTCAAATACCTTAGTGAAAAAAGTTAATAAATTCGTAAGGCAGGAACGCCCCTTTGTAAAACCATGCTGAGATTCGTTGATTAATTTATGTTTTTCAAGGTGGCTACGAACTGCCTCGGCAATTGTTGATTCCATAAATTTTCCCACTATGGAGGTTAGGCTTATTGGTCTATAGTTCGAAGCTAAGGACCTGTCACCTGCTTTGAAAACAGGTATCACATTTGTCATTTTCCACTTATCTGGCACCATGCCAGTTTGTAGTGATATGTTGAAAAGATTAACCAAAGGTTTGCTAAGCTTCTCTTTACATTCCTTTAGAACCCTTGGATACAGTTCATCAGGGCCTGGGGATTTGTTAGGTTTTAATTTATCTATTTGCCTAAGGACCATGTCACTTGTGACCCTAATCGTGCACAGTTTATTATCGTCCTGTTCTACATAATTTATCATATCTGGAATATCGCTGGTATCCTCCTGTGTAAAAACTGAGAGGAAGTATGTGTTAAAAATTCTACACATTTCCTTATCACTGTCAGTGAGCTGACCCGAGGAACTTTTGAGTGGGCCTATCTTGTCCCTGATCTTACTTCTGTATACCTGAAAGAATCCTTTTGGGTTAGTCTTCGATTCTCTTGCAACTTTAACCTCATAATCTCTTTTTGCTTTTCTAATTCTCTTTTTTATTTCTCTCTTTAACTGAATATATCGATTTCTTAAATGCCCCTCTCCTCTTTTGATTTGCCTATATATGCCTCTCTTTTGACCAATCAGATATTTTAATCTGTTGTTCATCCATTTAGGATCATGTTTGTTTGATCTGATTTCCCTATTTGGAACATAATTTGACTGAGCAGCTAGAACTATGCCCTGGAAAGCGTCATATCGGCAACCATCACCACCTACCTGACCCTTAGTCAGGTCATTCCAGTTCAGCCCACCTAAGCAATTTTTCAGTCCTTTGAAATCAGCCAAGCGAAAGTCAGGGACGGAGACTTGATTGCCATTATTAGGGGAATTCCATGATATATTAAAACTGAGTGATTTGTGATCACTTTCCCCAAGCTCATCATTAACCTCAAGATAATTTACACATGTAACTATGTATGATTTTACTTATGTGGACACGTACCTAAATAAACTTACTTACCTGTAAGTGAATCACTATCTTAGGATTTACTACTGTCTAGTGATCTTTTTTTTTTATTAAATGGGGTGAAAATCCCGGTTCACGTGAGTCACAGATGCTTAACCACTTGTATGATCACTCGTCAAGAGACACCACATTGAATCTGTAAGAAGGAGGCAAAAAGTAAATTTACCTTTGTGTACACCGGGAGTCGAACCGTCGGCATATATGCTCTGAGGAAATTCAGTATTTTGGAGTCTTGTCTTCTGCACTATAAAATATAGATTTGTACCTCGATATTGAAACCTGAAATTAATTTAATTTTAATAACAAATACGTTAATATTTATCATTTTATTGTTCATATCATTATTTTACTATTACTTCTGCTACTACTACTATCAAAACCACCGCTACAACTATTTTTTTTTTGTGCAAGAAAGGTATAAAATACCGACAATACGAAAGTTAAGACACATGTGCAACATCTGGATATCTTTATTGTAGACGTTTCGCCAACCAGTGGCTTTATCAATACAGATTCTAGGACATAATAGGAAGACAGTAGAACTATATACAAAAGATGAGGTAATCAGTCCCTCGGCCTTGGAGTTAGTGTTCACAGCATCGTGGTGGAGGAGAATCTGGAGAAAAGGCAAGAAGACTGGCGGTTATATACGCGTCAGTGGATAGGGACGGGCAGCAGACGAGGGCAGTCACTGGTAGGCGGGATTCCCCAGTGGAAGTAGGTCCTTCCCAAAGAGATGGGTTAGTTGCAGAAGCCGTGAAGAAGGTCTTGTAGATGTCCTCTGAACCAAGATTCCATGATGTTGCAGTGTCTGACAAGTTGTGCAAGAAAGGTATAAAATACCGACAATACGAAAGTTAAGACACATGTGCAACATCTGGATATCTTTATTGTAGACGTTTCGCCAACCAGTGGCTTTATCAATACAGATTCTAGGACATAATAGGAAGACAGTAGAACTATATACAAAAGATGAGGTAATCAGTCCCTCGGCCTTGGAGTTAGTGTTCACAGCATCGTGGTGGAGGAGAATCTGGAGAAAAGGCAAGAAGACTGGCGGTTATATACGCGTCAGTGGATAGGGACGGGCAGCAGACGAGGGCATCACTGGTAGGCGGGATTCCCCAGTGGAAGTAGCCCCTTCCCAAAGAGATGGGTTAGTTGCAGAAGCCGTGAAGAAGGTCTTGTAGATGTCCTCTGAACCAAGATTCCATGATGTTGCAGTGTCTGACAAGTTGTGCAAGAAAGGTATAAAATACCGACAATACAAAAGTTAAGACACATGTGGCAACATCTGGATATCTTTTTTGTAGACTTTTCGCCAACCAGTGGCTTTATCAATACAGATTCTGGGACATAATAGGAAGACAGTAGAACTATATACAAAAGATGAGGTAATCAGTCCTCGGCCTTGGAGTTAGTGTTCACAGAAATCGGGGTGGAGGAGAATCTGGAGAAAAGGCAAGAAGACTGGCGGTTATATACGGCTTCTGCAACTAACCCATCTCTTTGGGAAGGACCTACTTCCACTGGGGAATCCCGCCCCAGTGACTGCCCTCGCCTGCTGCCCGTCCCTATCCACTGACGCGTATATAACCGCCAGTCTTCTTGCCTTTTCTCCAGATTCTCCTCCACCACGATGCTGTGAACACTAACCCCAAAGGGCCGAGGGACTGATTACCTCATCTTTTGAAATATAGTTCTACTGTCTTCCTATTAGTCTAGAATCTGTATTGATAAAGCCACTGGTTGGCGAAACGTCTACAATAAAGATATCCAGATGTTCCCACATGTGTCTTAACTTTCGTATTTTTCGGTATTTTTACCTTTCTTGCACAACTTGTCAGACACTGCAACATCATGGAATCTTGGTTCAGAGGACATCTACAAGACCTTCTTCACGGCTTCTGCAACTAACCCATCTTTTTGGGGAAGGAAACTACTTCCACTGGGAATCCCGCCTACCAGTGACTGCCCTCGTCTGCTGCCCGTCCCTACTCCCTGACGCGAATAAACCGCCAGTCTTCTTGCCTTTTCTCCAGATTCTCCTCCACCACGATGCTGTGAACACTAACTCCAAGGCCGAGGGACTGATTACCTCATTTTTGTATATAGTTCTACTGTCTTCCTATTAATGTCCTAGAATCTGTATTGATAAAGCCACTGGTTGGGCGAAACGTCTACAATAAAGATATCCAGATGTTGCACATGTGTCTTAACTTTCGTATTGTCGGTATTTTATACCTTTCTTGCACAACTTGTCAGACACTGCAACATCATGGAATCTTGGTTCAGAGGACATCTACAAGACCTTTTTCACGGCTTCTGCAACTAACCCATCTCTTTGGGAAGGACCTACTTCCACTGGGGAATCCCGCCTACCAGTAAACTGCCCTCGTCTGCTGCCCGTCCCTATCCACTGACGCGTATATAACCGCCAGTCTTCTTGCCTTTTCTCCAGATTCTCCTCCCCACGATGCTGTGAACACTAACTCCAAGGCCAAAGGGACTGATTACCTCACTTTTGTATATAGTTCTACTGTCTTCCTATTATGTCCTAGAATCTGTATTGATAAAGCCACGGGTTGGCGAAACGTCTACAATAAAATATCCAGATGTTGCACATGTGTTTTTAACTTTCGTATTGTCTTTTATTTTTATACCTTTCTTGCACAACTTGCAGACACTGCAACATCATGGAATTTTGGGTTCCCAAGAGTACATCTACAAGACCTTCTTCACGGCTTCTGCAACTTAACCCCATCTCTTTGGGAAGGACCTACTTCCACGGGGGAACCCCCGCCTACCAGTGACTGCCCTCGTCTGCTCCCGTCCCTACCCACTGACGCGTATATAACCGCCATCTCTTGCCTTTTCTCCAGTTTCTCCTCCACCACGATGCTGTGAACACAAACTCCAAGGCCGGGGGACTGATTACCTCATCTTTTGTATATAGTTCTACTGTCTTCCTATTATGTCTAGAATCTGTATTGATAAAGCCACTGGTTGGCGAAACGTCTACAATAAAGATATCCAATGTTGCACATGTGTCTTAACTTTCGTATTGTCGGTATTTTATCCCTTTTCTTGCACAACTTGTCAGACACTGCAACATCATGGAATCTTGGTTCAGAGGACATCTACAAACCTTCTTCACGGCTTCTGCAACTAACCCATCTCTTTGGGAAGGACCTACTTCCACTGGGGAATCCCGCCTACCAGTGACTGCCCTCGTCTGCTGCCCGTCCCTATCCACTGACGCGTATATAACCGCCAGTCTTCTTGCCTTTTCTCCAGATTCTCCTCCACCACGATGCTGTGAACACTAACTCCAAGGCCGAGGGACTGATTACCTCATCTTTTGTATATAGTTCTACTGTCTTCCTATTATGTCCTAGAATCTGTATTGATAAAGCCACTGGTTGGCGAAACGTCTACAATAAAGATATCCAGATGTTGCACATGTGTCTTAACTTTCGTATTTTTTTTTTCTTGTGTTACATTGTTAGCTTATAGAACACAGGTTAACTATGAGATCTGACCTAAGTGTCAGTACAAGACTGATCACTGTGTTCTCTGACAGGTGATGAAAACTTCCACAAGAGCCGCAAACAGCAGTACAAGAAGGCCAAGAAGGGTTCTTCCTACGACACAGTACCTTTCATCGATAAGGAAGGTGAGTACACAGTCAAGAGCTCTTGACGCAAGGTTGTAGAACTATCCTCCCATTCCGTTGAGTGAAATTTGATTACTTTCATTCCCCAGATGTGGTATGACCGCCTACGAGATTAGTTTTTTTTTTTTTCCAGTGAATATAATAACGTCTGAGGTGACTAGTTCTTTCACATTCACGTTTGAAGCCGTGTATGTAGTCAGCTTTTACTGTGTCACTGTCTAGGTCATTAAACTTTTCTTTATTCGTCATTCAAGAAATCTTTCCTGGTGTCCTTCAGGTGGAACTGGCAATTTGCACACATTATATTTCGTTCATTTCTGTTCGATCTTGTTATTATAATAATAATCATAATGAAATTCTAGACCGTAAGGTGTTCGATCGAAGCCTTTACATTTTTCTAATTCTAGGTTAGACTAGGTTCACTTAATTAACCTGTACGTATATGTAGTTATCCGATAACAAGGAATCAACTTAAGCGAGCAGTATACACGTGGCACGTGGATATATGATATAAACTGTTAAATATGGTAACCTCACTCTTACTGTTAAAGTTGGGCATTTAATCTGGTGTCCTTACACACGTTTTTAAAATTGGTTTAAGCTGGTAGTCTCACCTGTACTGTTAAAATTAGTTGTCTAGGCTGGTAATCACACGGTCACTGTTAAAGGTAGTTGTTTAATCTGGTAGTCCCACGCTCATTGTTAAAATTGGTTAATCTGGTAGTCCCACGCTTACTGTTAAAATTGGTTAATCTGGTAGTCCCACACTGTTAAAATTGGTTAATCTGGTAGTCCCACGCTTACTGTTAAAATTGGTTAATCTGGTAGTCCCACGCTCATTGTTAAAATTGGTTAATCTGGTAGTCCCACGCTTACTGTTAAAATTGGTTAATCTGGTAGTCCCACGCTTACTGTTAAAATTGGTTAATCTGGTAGTCCCACGCTTACTGTTAAAATTGGTTAATCTGGTAGTCCCACGCTTACTGTTAAAATTGGTTAATCTGGTAGTCCCACGCTTACTGTTAAAATTGGTTAATCTGGTAGTCCCACACTTACCGTTAAAATTGGTTAATCTGGTAGTCCCACACTTACTGTTAAAATTGGTTAATCTGGTAGTCCCACACTTACTGTTAAAATTGGTTAATCTGGTAGTCCCACACTTACTGTTAAAATTGGTTAATCTGGTAGTCCCACACTTACTGTTAAAGTTGGTTAATCTGGTAGTCCCACACTTACTGTTAAAGTTGGTTGTTCCCATATGAAAGTCAATATTTAATTTTTGCATCAAAATTTAGTGAAATTTAAGCAAACAGCTTAATTTACCTAACATATATAAAAAATAGTATTAGTTAATTCCTTCTTGGGACTAAGTCTTCAAGTGACCCACAGTTTGAATCAAGCTTAAATAGTGGAAGTTAGATTAAATCCAAACCAAATGCTCAAGTACTACGTATTTTTTTTTCCATCGTATTAATCTCAATTAAAAAAATAGTACTGGGTCCAGTAATGACCCTTCCACGTCTCTTCCTCGATAATTACTCAATTTCGTTTCTGTTGCTCTACGACCCTTGTGGATTTAACGCTTAGTTTCGATAATTCTTTCCTGATAAGTATTCCTTGATCCACTTAAATATCCCCCTCCCCCAGGCCATTCCTTCCTGCTTCTCTGGTAAAAACAAAAAAAGTAAATCTCCAGAGAATATCACGAACTTCACTAGCAACGAAGCATCTAACTCCATCAAAACTGTCAGGTCAGTTTCACTTTCTGGGCAAGTTACACGCCAACTAAACTTGGTACACGGAGATGTGAGATACCACGATAATGTTGATTGTCAGGTCGTGGCCACTCCAGAGACCCTCGCCTTACCCTCCATGATGAGAAACTTTCCAATAGTAGTAACAACACCCTAGGAATTTGGTTTTTATATACTTTTTTTGTATTTTAGTAGAGGCGATGTATCCATGAGATGCAAGTAATGCTTGTTAATATTTCTAGTTGACCAGAATGTAAGTCGCTCTTCACATAATTTATATAATACGTAATTGCTTGTGTAAACATCAGCATATATATATATATATATATATATATATATATATATATATATATATATATATATATATATATATATATATAATATATATATTAGATATATATATATATGTCGTGCCGAATAGGCAGAACTTGCGATCTTGGCTTAAATAGCAACGCTCATCTTGCCATATAGGACAAGCGAAAATTTGTGAATGCAATAATTTCGCAAAAATAATTCTGAACCTAACGAAAAAAATATATTTCACTGTGTTTGTTTAGTATTAAATTATTGTAAACAAATCTAAAATATATTTAGTTGGGCTAGGCTAAAATAAATTGTTTTTGTTATAATAAGGTTAGGTAAGTTTTCTAAGATTCTTTTGGAGCAAAATTAAAATTTTTTACATTAACATTAATGAAAAAAATATATCTTTAAACGTATAAGAGAAAATTTTAGAAAGGTCTTAATTTTAAATGAGTTCTTGCTAATTGACCAGTTTTACATATTCGGCACGACATATATATATATAATATATAATAATATATATATATATATATAATATATATATATATATATATATAATATATAATATATATATATATATTTGTTATTTGTGTGTGTGTGTGTGTGTGTGTGTGTGTGTGTGTGTGTGTGTGTGTGTGTGTATGTTTGTGTGTGTGTGTGTGCCCTAGGTAGTAGGTTGGTAGACAGCAACCACCCAGGGAGGTACTACCGTCCTGCCAAGTGAGTGTAAAACGAAAGCCTGTAATTGTTTTACATGATGGTAGGATTGCTGGTGTCTTTTGTCTGTCTCATAAACCTGCAAGATTACAGGTACGTCTTGCTACTTCTACTTACACTTAGGTCACACTACACATACGTGTACAAGCATATATATACATACCCCTCTGGGTTTTCTTCTATTTTCTTTCTAGTCCTTGTTCTTGTTTATTTCCTCTTATCTCCATGGGGAAGTGGAACAGAATTCTTCCTCCGTAAGCCATGCGTGTTGTAAGAAGCGACTAAAATACCGGGAACAAGGGGCTAGTAACCCCTTCTCCCGTATAAATTACTAAATTTAAGAGAAACTTTCGTTTTTCTTTTTGGGCCACCCTGCCTTGGTGGGATACGGCCGGTGTGTTGTGTTGAATATGTGTATGTGTGTGTGTGTGTTCACCTATTTGTACTCGCCTATTTGTGGGTGCAGGGGTCGATTCATAGCTCCTGGCCCCGCCTCTTCGCTGATTGCTACTAGGTCCTCTCTCTCCCTGCCCCATGAGCTTTATCATACCTCGCCTTAAAACTATGTATGGTTCCCGCCTCCACTACGTCACTTTCTAGGTTATTCCACGGCCTGACTACTCTATGATGAGAAATACTTCCTAACATCCCTTTGATTCATCTGTGTCTTCAGCTTCCAATTGTGACCTCTTGTGTCTTTGTCCACCTTGTCTATTCCGCGCAGTATTTTATATATCGTTATCATGTCTCCCCTGACCCTCCTGTCCTCCAGTGTCGTCAGGCCGATTTCCCTCAACCTTTCTTCGTAGGACAATCTCCGTAGCTCTGGGACTAGTCTTGTTGCAAACCTTTGCACTTTCTCTAACTTCTTGACGTGCTTGACTAGGTGTGGGTTCCAAACTGGTGCTGCATACTCCAGTATGGGCCTGACGTAAATGGTATACAGAGTCTTAAACGAATCCTGTGTGTGTGTGTGTGTGTGTGTGTGTGTGTGTGTGTGTGTGTGTGTGTGTGTGTGTGTGTGTGTGTGTGTGTGTGTGTGTGTGTGTGTGTGTGTGTGCGCGCGCGCCGAATAAGTAAAATTGGTCAATTAAAAAGAACTGATTTAAAATAAGTCCTTTCTAAACTTTTATCCTACAAGTTTCAAAACTTTTTTTTTATTTATGTTAGTGTAAAAATTAATAATTTTGTACCAAAAGAACCTTAGAAAACTTAACTAACTTCATTATAACAAGTGCAAGTTAATTTAGCCTCATCCAACTAAATATAGTTTAGATAAGTTTACAATAATTTAATAATAAACAAACACAATAGAATATATATTTTTAGTTAGGTTCAGAATGATTTTTGCTAAATTACTGCATACACAAATTTTCTCTTGCCTTATTCGGCAAGAAGAGCGTTGCTATTTAAGCCAAAATCGCAAGTTTTACCTATTCGGCACGACACACACACATATATATATAATATATATATATATATATATATATATATATATATATATATATATATATATATATATATATATATATATATATATATAAAATGCATGTTTATAATTATGATACACGTTTCAGTTTTTCTATACATATATGTAATGCTAATGTTTACACAAGTATATAAATTATGTCAAGAGCGACTTAGATTCAGGTCGGCTAGAAATGCTAGTCACTACTAGGCTTCTTAATGAGGCTTTTGATACAAATTGTACTCATGGGGGAAGTGTAGATACTGTGGAGGTCATACTACACCTGGAAATGCGAGGAAATCAGGTTTGTTCCAAGGAAAGGGAGGCTCACTCCAATTTCTTTAATCAGTATTTTTTCTCAAAGAGATGGCATGTAGAATTTCCCAAAAATTCATACTTAAGACAGCAATCTTACGACGACGTTTGGTTCCGTTCTGGACGATCATCAAGTCACTAGCTGTGGATGTAGATTGGTTGGTTAATAGGGATTTAAAACCTATAGACTACACTAGAGTTATCAAGGCTGCACGTAACCTTGTAACCACCAGACAATACTCTAATCTTTAAAATAGGGATTATTGTAAACTCAGCATACATTCACACATACACCTCTTCAGTGCGTTTTATTATGTAAAGCCTTTTAACGAACTCTTAGAAATATACAGAGAAGCTTAGTGTTACCCAAGATTTAAGTGCAAGTACACCATAAATTTTTTTTCGAAGTTGGAGAATAAATTAATATATAAGCTGCATGTGCATACAAAAAGTAATTTGTTAAACGCCGTCAAGGTCTCAAGGACCAAATACTTTCTCTCGTGGCTTTAACTTTCCCTTGAGGTACACATTCCCATGTCTCTCCCTCACTCCACCTTTCTTAAGAGACACAACACCGCCTCGCTGCAAGATACCTGCTGAACAGACTATTTTTTTTTTTTTGGCACGACTTTATCAAGCCAGTCACTTCTATATATGAAGAGAAACGTCACATTAATTATTTCACGGGGAGCCCTAAACCCATACAACGCCTTGGGAGGCAATCACATTTGATCCAAGGAAAGGGAGGGTAGCTCTAGTTCTTTGGGTCAAAAGCCCTTCACCAATGTGGACAGTGAGTCTTTGTACTCACTGTCTAGCATAGCAGAAAACTTTATTATTGTGTGACCGTTATGCCACCGACACCCTCAGATAAGACGTTCTGGCGGAAGGAGGCGCAGAAGGAGCTGGAGACGCAGTTGGGGGTGAGGCCGAGGGTGACACAAGCCAAGAACGTCATCCTCTTCCTGGGTGATGGCATGTCTGTGGCCACCGTCACTGCCGCCAGGATCATGAAGGGGCAAAAGACGGGCAAGTGGGAGCACCAGGACCTGGCTTGGGAAACCTTCCCATACTCCGCTATCATTAAGGTAAGGCAGAACAACCATTTGTGCAACATTCTTTCAACTCTCGGTTTTCTAAACCATTTACAACAGAGCATAAGTTTCTGCCTCTGGGTATATGGCTGGGTATGTTTGGCCATGGGCATTTCACTATTAATCCTCAATTTAGAGACAAATTTTTAGAGATTTATTGTATTATCAGTGGCTGTGTGTGGAGCTTAGTATGTTATGAACTAAGTTGTGTATTGACTTAGGTACAGATTATTATTATTATTATAATCAAGGGGAAGCGCTAAACCCGGAGGATTATACAGCGCCTGGGGGGGATGTGGAAGGCATTCAGGCTTAATTCGGGGAACTGGAGCACAGATCCAATTCCCTAAATCAAGAGCCCCTCACCAACATCAAGGAACCTTCCTTGAGGGGACTTAGGTACAGAGATATCTTGAATATTTCGTATTTTAGACTTTAATACCGAGATTATTTAAATTCGGAATATATGGATCTAAATATTTGTTCTGTAATGTTTTGATTTGTCTTAATTTGCGTATATTCAGAATTCAGTACAAAATACAAAAATTTATTTCTTTGCAAATGTTACAATGTGTGATTACATTTCATAATTTGATTGGTACAAAGAACGCCACTATCATGCCGGGGCATTTCGGGCAAACTTAACCTATTTTTACTCACCTGTTTGTATTAGTAGGGGTTAGACCATAGCTTGTGTCACCACCTCTTATCTGGCCGTTACCGGATTCACTTTCCAAGCCTCAGTGGACCCTATCTTGCCTAAGTCCTGATCAGCTTGAGGATCTTGCAGCAAAAAATGCCATAAAACTGGTTTTGAGACGCAAGTTTAATTCAGTTTGTGCTTCATGAATAAACATTGCTTCCCAGAGTATATTACTGATGTCAGGGCAAGTCCTCCATGAGTGTGGATGTTACCTTGTGACAATGTAAATACAAGTCCTTGAGTTATCTTGCCGTTTTCACTTAAGATTATTTCACCAATTATCCCTGTAATCTTACTGCTTCTTTCTGTTATCCCATAACTTATAGTTATCTCATCATATACATCTGTTGTACGGTGGTGTGTTGTTCCTCGGGAAAGGGTCGACACTATAATACGGGAGATAGGCTTTCAGCTCCATTAAAAAAACACAAAGTATTAAAACATTAATTTCCTGGGATTTTGTTATACCTGTTATTTGATGGTGGAGGTACTATTTTATTCATGAAATAGAACTGGTGTTATGAAACAAAACTGGAGTTTTTGGTCATACGACCGAGGCCTTCCACTGGCTTACTGGTTCACCCCGTTTAAAATTAAAGGTCACATCAAGTGATGTTTATGTCTGGTGATCTGATGGTGATATATTGGTCAGGAAACACCAGTGTTTGATAGTTAATTGAAATTTCAGGCTGTTGATTACACTACCAGCCAAGAACACTAATACCTAAAATAGGGATTAAAATGAACTCTCGATGTATACAAACTGAGATACACCTTTCGGTGCAAATGTGCTGTGATTGAGCTACACGTGTCTTCCTTACAGACTTACACTGCAGACAGCCAGGTGGCTGACAGCGCCGCCAGCGCCACTGCCTACCTCTGCGGCGTGAAGAACAACCGTGGCACTATAGGTGTAGATGTTAATGTCAACAGAGAGAACTGCTCAGCCCAGCACGACCCAACCTTCCATACACACTCCATCGCTAAGTGGTTCCAGGTAAGTAAAAAATGGGAAACGGGAGGAAGAAGTTTCAACAAAATTGGATACATAAAAAGTACCCTGTTGCCCTATTCTACATGGTAGTTACACAATGGAAACAAAAGCTGTTTCCCTGTCATATTCCATCACACAAGATGGGTCTAATACAAGGTATTGAAATCAGTCAGGTTGAGCTGGGCAATGACGATATCAAGTATTCCAGTAAAGGTTCATCAGCTACGGCAGCTTTAGAGGTTTCCTTCTAGCATAGGATGATGAGGAAGGGTTAGGAGGGATGTGGGTAGGAGAGATCAGAGAAAAGGATTGTGGGTATGGATGAAGAGATAATATGATCGAAGTAACCTAGCCACTTTGTTTTTGTATTCTTGATCACAAGCACAAGATTAGCTAGGCTAAATGTTGCCATATTTATATTCACTGTCAAGCTATAAGCCCGTAAGGGTCATACAGTGCCTGAGAAATTGGAAGATACTTCTAATTCATTGAATCAAGGGCCATGTAACAGCATCAAAACACCAACCTCGAAGGATCCAGGTAAGTGGCTGCCTTGTCTTCATATAATTCACTTCTGTGGCAGTCTCGGCTCCATTTAATGCTCTATGGCAGCTTGGCTTCATAATATCTGTGGCCGCCTTGACTCCACATATTCTGTGGCATCCTTAGCTCCATATAACAATGTTCTGTGGCAGCCTTGGCGTCACATAACTGTTTTGTGGCAGCCTTGGCGTCACATAACAGTGTTATGTGGCAACCTTGGCTTACATAACAGTGTTATATGGCAGCCTTGGCTTACATAACAGTGTTCTGTAGCAGCCTTGGCGTCACATAACACTGTTCTGTGGCAGCCTTGGCGTCACATAATAGTGTTCTGTGGCAGCCTTGGCGTCACATAAACTGTTTCTGTGGCAGCCTTGCGTCTATAGTTCTGTGGCAGCTTGTTATGTGTTGATACACTTGGTATAAGTCACAATAACATCGACAAATAATAATCGTGAGTAACTATCATGTGTGTTCAGGCGTGTTGCAATTAATGACACTACGGGGGTAACGTCTTAGTGAGGGTTTAATAGCCTTGGCCATGAGAGTAACGCCGTGTTTTATTACACGTGTCAAACATTACAGGTCTTTTTTTGTTTACGATGTTCATGAGACTTATCTCGTGGCTCCCACGGAACTACGTCTGGTTCATGTATGTCAAGTTCCCCTGGCGTGTTTGCATGTGTGCCAGAACCACGTACTTGTATTCACCCCCCCCCCTACCGCTTACCCTCCACGGCCTTAGTCAGAGACCTTGCTGAAGAAGGTCTCTGACTGGGGTCGAAATATACACACCTGGTTTTTACCTGCATTTCAATTTTGTGTCCGTGTGATCTCCCACTTCAATTGATTAGTTTTCATGACAAGGTAATACAAGCAATACAGCCTTCTTTATATACATGTAAGATGTCAGTATGCAAGTTAATACATGCAGTATAACCTTAATGTACATGTAAGACGGAATTATACAAGGTAATACATGAAGTACATTCTTCTTAATATACATGTGACATGACATTATTCAAGGAATTTTTTTAATACCGCTGACACAATCTAATTACCACCATCGACTCTATGAACCTCCTGTTGATATAATTATTACGTATTATTATTATTATTATTATTACAGGGCTTGAAGGAATGGCAACTACTCGGGTTCGACCCCAGGAAGAGGGGGGACCTCATTTTCTTAGATAAAAATTATCACAACGAAGCGCTAAATCCCTAAGGGTCATACAGCCCTTGGATTAAAAAAAAAAAAAAACCTCTCGCCGGCATCAAAAAAACCTTCCTTGAAGAGTCATAAACCTACAATAAATGTTTATTATTCGATTTCTCAGGGGTGTCTGGAGGCCTTAAAACTGATGAGTTAGTATGAGAGGCTGCAGCCTTGGCACCCTAAGGTAGATTTAAAAGTAGATCCCACGCAGTCATTACAGCTTGTAATTACTTGTTGCTTCGTCATCCTGGTAATAATTTGTTGATTGGTGACTTGTCATTGTGATTGGTTATTCCACTTACGGTCTTGCAATAAATTAATAACGTGATCAAAAATATGTTTCACATTAGGCTGTCACGTTTACTGCTGTTGCATTCACAATGAAGCGCTGAACCCGTAGGTGTCTTATTTTATTATTATAATCAAGGGGGAAGCGCTAAACCCGGAGGATTATACAGCGCCTGGGGGGGGATGTGGAAGGCATTCAGGCTTAATTCGGGGAACTGGAGCACAGATCCAATTCCCTAAATCAAGAGCCCCTCACCAACATCAAGGAACCTTCCTTGAGGGGAGGTGTCTTATAGTCCGGGGAATGGGAGGTAATTAGGTTTGATCCAGGCAAGGATAGTTCCAGTTCTTTAACTCAGTAATTCTTCTGAAGAATATATTCACATATTTCATGGAGACTTGAGTGGACGAGGCTCTGGTGTGGTATAACAACCTCCAGGGTAAGACTTCTGACTACCAACTCACCAAGGTACCTTGATGTTGTAGGATAAGTGAGGGAGGTACTAACCTCCTGCAATACCACCGTGACACGGAAGCCTGGTCAGTGTTTTGCATTGTGATAATTCAAGCTCATTTATACTAACTTACCTTTCCCGCGTGTTTCTTAAAAGTTGTAATATACTATATATATATATATATATATATATATATATATATATATATATATATATATATATATATATATATATATATATATATATGTCGTGCCGAATATGTAAAACTGGTCAATTAGCAAGAACTCATTTAAAATTAAGTCCTTTCTGAAATTTTCTCTTATACGTTTAAAGATATATTTTTTCATTAATGTTAATGTAAAAAAATTAATTTTGCACAAAAAGAATCTTAGAAAACTTACCTAACCTTATTATAACAAGTGCAATTTGTTTTAGCCTAACCCAACTAAATATATTTTAAATACGTTTACAATAATTTAGTACTAAACAAACACAATCAAAAATATTTTTTTCGTTAGGTTCAGAATGATTTGGGCAACATTACTGCATACACAAATTTTCACTTGTCCTATATGGCAAGATGAGCGTTGCTATTTAAGCCAAGATCGCAAGTTCTGCCTATTCGGCACGAAATATATATATATATATATATATATATATATATATATATATATATATATATATATATATATATATATATAATGTGCCGAATAGGTAAAACGCGATTTTGGCTTAAATAGCATATGGTCTTCTTGCCGAATAAGACAAGCGAAAATTTGTGTATTCAATTATTTCGCAAAAAATCATTACTACTACTAGTACTACTACTACTAGTACTACTACTAGTACTACTACTAGTACTACTACTAGTACTACTAGTACTACTACTACTACTAGTACTACTACTACTAATATTTTTTTCATATTTCTAGATTGCATCAAAAAGTCAAATATGGTTCGGTAGAAGCCTAGGATTGACATCATGGATTTTTTAAGAATTTTTTCACACTATAGATTGAATGTTGCCAGGTTAATGCTCTGTCATCTCTAGTGGTTATAATCATAACAGTATTTTTTTAATAGGGGTGGAGGGGTAAGCCAGCGGAAGGCCTCGGTCAGGTGACCAAAAGCTCCAGCTGTAGGTCATCATATGACTAAGACTCGCGTCAAGAAACACTTGTCCTGTTTCCTGACAAATTTTACCTAATCTATGTTGCCAGGAGGAAGAATGGGGGTGCATGAGGGCACGTCGTACCCCGGGGGGGCATAAAGGTACGTCATACCCCGGGGTACAAACAATGAACATTTGTGAAAGTTGTGTACCTGATAATGAGGTTTAGCTATACAAGAGAGTGGGAGAACCACTTACACCACCTACCCTACCACTGATCCCTCTTACCACTTACACGTCTGGCCGACCATTTGACCACTTGCCTGTCTGCCTGAACACTCTTCCGTAGTATATATATTGGCTAACGAATATTAGGCTTTCAAAATGCAGATTATATTACTGCATGCTGCAGTAACATAATCTGCTAGTCAACTGTAATTATATCTACGCTCTCACGAACTACCTTTAACTGGTATTTTGTAACGCAGTGGCTGCGCCTTCAGCTTAAAACCGAGCCACAGCCTGGTTGGTCAGGTGCTGACTTTAGGTGCCTGTCCAGTGCCTTCTTGAAGACAGCCAGGGGTCTATTGGCAATCCCCCTTATGTATGCTGAGAAGCAGTTGAACAGTCTTGGTCCCCTAACACTTAGGTGGTGTAGTATATATCAAGGCTTGAATTTAAAATAAGTTAGCTAGGATAACATCGCTTAGCGTGTCCAGTTTTCACTTAGTTTTAATTAAGACAAGGATAGCATGTAATCCCTAGTTCATCTCTGCAGCTAGTGAACCATCTTAGGTCATTAGGAGCAACAAACTACCTCGCATTTTAACTGCTAGAGTTGCTAATTAGGTTAAAGCACCTAGCAAACTATCCACACGTGTTAAACCTGGGGATACCCACAGCGGGTCACCTGACCTCCACCTACCCACAGCGGGTCACCTGACCTCCGCCTACCCACAGCGGGTCACCTGAACATTCACCTTCCTAAGTAAATCAGTGTATTTGTGGTGAAGCGCTAAACTCGCAGAGGTCATACAGCGCCTAGACAGTGGAAGGTAGTTTTGATCCAAAGCATGGGAAGGTTAATTATACTTCCTCGGATCAAGAGCACCTCACCGGAGCATCCCCTTGTAGATGACAGAGTAGAACGTAAGGTGAGGCAATAACCTAGCATGGAACCACACTGGTAATTACTGCTGACAACCCTTGCTAAGTACACTCATTCATTAACTGTTTTGTGTAACCTACTTATGTGAGGGTGAGAGGGAAGGGTAGGAGGGGGAGAAGAGAGGGAAGGGGGAGAGGGAAAGAGAGGGAGAAAGGAGAGAGGAGCTTTTTTTTAGTAACAATGTACACCAGCAGTGTGCTGCTGCGCTATTCTGTATGA